CGAGCCGGGCGCGGCCTCCCCGCCCTCTCCCGCCGGGCTCCCTAAGTCGGTCGACCGGGGCTGGGATGGCCCCTCGGCGCCCTACCAGCCGCTCGTGCCCCAGACGGCGGTGCCGCACACCGGCTTCACCGAATACTTCAGCATGCACACGGCCGGGGGCACCGCTCCCCCGGTCTGACCGCCCTTGTCCCCCCACTGAGCCCCACCCCCCGTGGGCCGCGCGCTGGGGCCCGGAGCCCCCGCACTATCCCAGCCCCAGGCTCGGCATCTCACCCACCCCGGCCCCACCCAGCCCCCCTGCTCGCCCAGGTGAGGGTGCGCTGCGTCCCGGTCCCGGTCCCGGTCCCGCCCCCCTCCCCTACTCCTGTGCCAAACGGTCCCGCGGGAGCCGCTCTCCCCGTCCCCTCCCTCAGCCCCCGCCTCAAGCGGCGCCGGATTCTGGGCTTCCGCTGTTCCGTGACCTCCGGCCCCCCGCCCCCCTCCGAGACCTCTGACCCCACCGGACCCCGGGACCCTCGCGACGACCGCCAGGACCCTGCCCAAGACTCCAGGACTCCGCGACCTGGGACGGATATTGCGAAGCCGATGTCTGCTCTGCTCTGACAACCCTCCCCGGACCCTCTGTGACCTCGGACCCAGTTCCGCCTCCCCCGACCTTGACCTTCGACCTTGGATCCATCTCAGGGGGGCCTGCCCTCAGGTCCCAGGCTGAAGGACTTGCCCCCACCCCTTTGCCAAAATAAAAAGGATTCGTTGAGTTTTTACCCATAAAGACTGCCTCTTTCACATCTTGATGGTGCTCAGAGGCGAGGCTAAGCCAGAATCTGTTCCAGGCGAGGGTCTTCATCGACCCCAGGTGAACCCAAACCAAACCCCTTGGCCTTGAACTTGATGGAGACTCACAGGGATTCTAAAGGACCACGTAAAACCGCCCTTTACGTTTTCCCAAGGCTGTGGTCCTTTATGGAAGGATATTGCCCCATCGTCCTCTTGGCAAAGCGCCTGGCGAGTTTGAACCGCTGACCTTTGGGTTAGCAACTGAGCGCTTAACCGCCGAGCCACCAGGGCTTCTGGAACCCAGGCAAACCCTCCCCAAAACCCAGCTCCCCTCTAAGGAGTCGATGCGGACTCAGTGACAGGGCAGGACGGCGCCCGAGCGCTTCCTGGGCTGTGACTCTACCACCCTAGGAGGTCCGGTCTTTCTCCGGGAACAGGACCCACACGACCTGACTTTTGTGTCGCCCCTGAATCTGGGAACAACGAAGAGACATCATCCTGCGGAGCCTTCGACTTCATCTATTTTTACCTTTCTTCCCCCAAAGGAATCCTGGTAGTGTATTGGATTACGCGATGGGCTGCGAATCGCAAGGTCAGCGGTTCAGGCCCCTCAACATCCCCAGGAGAGAGAGAGGAGGCTTTGTCTGCCCCAGTAAAGATTTACTTCCTCAGGAACCCTGTTGTTCCCTGCGCTATGGGCTCTCGCTTTGTGTCGGAGTCGACTCGGTGGCAATGAGTTTGGTTTTGAGGTTTTTCCCCGGTCAGAGACAGAAGAGGGCCCTTCCGCAGCGCAGGACCGCGGAGCGTAGGTTACAATTTTGGCACTGCGCATGTATCCCATTGCCCCGGTTCTCAGGCCAAGGAGGCCCCTGCTGCGCATGCGGCTTGAAACAAAGGGGCGGGGCAGTTTCCGGAAGTCTCCTTTTGCAGAAAGGTGGGGCGGGGCGCTCCGCAGTCCTCCCAGGGCCGCTCTGGCCGGCCACCCCAGTGACTTCTCGCCTCCTCCCCAGCGGCCCTCCCACCGCGGCCGCTGGGTCCCAGCTCCCTCACCATCCCAGCGGGTTCTTTTCGGGGCCGCTCTGGCCTGGGCGCCCCTTCATCTCTCTGATCTGGCCCAGCCGGCTCCGGGAGGGAGGCGCGGGTGGGCGAGCGGACAAGTGCGTCTATGGGGCCCCGGACCCGAGCCCCTGAAGACGGGCTCCGCCCCCGGCACCCACACGCGCCCCGCCCCCGGCTGGAGGGGCCTGTCCCGGACCGGCCGGGCCTGGCGGGTTTGGGGCCCGCACGGCCTCCCCGGCCCGGTGGGTGTGAGGAGGCCCCCTCCCGGGCTGTAAAGAGCTATACCTTTGGGGGGCAAACCTGTCCATAAGGGCCCAGGCTTTAGCTGCTGGGACTTGCTTATGGGGCTCTGCCCGGCTATACGTCCCCTGTTTTTAGGGGCCTCTCTTGGTCCCTAGGGGCCAGCCCGGATCAGGCCAGCCCCATTTCCCGGGTCTATAGAGCGTACCCCTAGGCTTCTTAAAGAGGTTCTGTCAGAACCCCACAGAAGCCAACCCTTGTCCCGTGGACTGTCCCCCCTCCCTCCCCGTCCCTCCCCCATCTACAAGGACGCGCACCCTCCCTCCATAGAGGTCGCATTTGCAGGGGCTCACCCCAGTTAGGAACCCCTCTCTGGGTTATTAGGACCCATCTTGACCCTCAAGGTTGGTGCAGAAGGCAGCCATGGCCCTGGACCTAGCTCCGGCAGGGGTGTTGGCCCTAGTCCTGGCCATTCTGGGGCCACCCTTTCCCGGGGCCAAGGCAGGGGACTGCAAAGGACAGCGGCAGGTGCTGCGGGAGGCGCCAGGCTTCGTGACGGATGGCGCAGGCAACTACAGCGTCAATGGCAACTGCGAGTGGCTCATCGAGGGTGAGTGGGGCTCCTGGGGCACTCACTCATTTGCCAGCTCATTCATTCGTTCACGCAATCATTCTTGCGCTCCTCACTCTGAGAAGGGGGTTTGTGGGCGAGAATTTTTGCTCCAAAAGGTTGTACACAGGGTTATAGCCAACACCAAGCCCTGGAAGGTCTGGAGGCTGGTGGGGAGACAGGCCCTGGCTGAGACAGACATGAATAATTCTGGCCAACACCTACAGGGGTGTTGGGAATGATTGCCAGAACTCAGACCAGTCCAACACCTGGCTTTGAACCTGGGCTCTAGTTCTTATTACCACTGTGATTTGGGCAAGTAGCTTTTCAAACTTGAGTATCCTTTTCTGCCCCCGCCCCCTAGGGGATAATTATAGGTATCTCATTGGGTTGTTGGATAAGATGAGACCAAGTGTTTGTTTTTTTACTTTTGTTATTTTTTTTATCATATTCATTTAAAAAAAAGTCAAATTCTAGTTTGTATTCATCTTTTAATGTCTAACTTATGGTTTTATGTATTTTTAATGTTTGAGTTTCTTTGTCTAATACTTAAAAAAATACTTTTATTGGGGGATCTTACATCTCTTATCTCAATCCATACCTTCCTCCAGTGTGTCAAGCACATTTGCACATATGCCTCCATCATCATTTTCAAAGTATTCTCTTCCCACTTGAGCCCTGATATCAGCTCCCCATTTCTTCCCCTCCCCCCACGGCCCACCCTCCCTCACAAACCCTTGCTAAGTTATAGATTATTTTTTCCATATCTTACATTGTCCTCCATCGCTTCTCCATTATTCGTCCCCCTGGGAGGGGGTTCTAGATTGATCCTTGTGATCGGTTCCCCCTTTCTCCCCCCACCCTCCCCTAATCCTCCTGGTACCTTTACTCTCCTTGTTGGCCCCGGGGGGTGGGGGTGGGGGGGAGTTGTTAATCTACCCTGGACTCCCTGTGTTGTGGGCTCCTATCTGTAGCAGTGTGGATGCCCTGAGACCAAGTACTTCCACCTGCCTGGCATGGAGTGTGTTGTGATGGTCGCTCCCTGCTGTTGAGTTCCTTCCAACCCATAGCAACCGTGTGTACAACAGAAAGAAACCCCACCCAGCCCGAGCCAACGTCACCGTCGTGGCTGTGTGTGGGCTGATGGTTACAGCCACTGTGTCTTTTGAGTGCTGCCCAACCTGAGGGTCTCATCTTGTGGTGGTGGTGGCGGGGGCGGCACTGTACCAGACAATGTTCCGCTGCTCTCCTTAAGGTTTGTGAGGGACCTTGGGTTTTTTTTCAGGCCCTGCCCCCAAGACTGGCTTAGCCTGCAAGCTCCAGGGAAACTTGGCCACCCTGGGTGACCCAGCAGGTATTTGAGATAGCAGTGATGCTGTTTCCAGGCTCCCGGCCACACACAGGCCGCCACAGGAAGACAAACCGGCAAATTAAAGGGTGGGATGCCTAGGCAGTGCTCAATAGATAGGCATGGGATGGTTACTGTTGTTATTTGCAAAACGTTGTGGCGAACATACCTATTTAAGACATCGACCTGCCACCTGCCACTCACAGCCTCGACCCTCCCAAGGCTCTAGGGTTGGGGTCCAGTGGGGAAAAGCAAATACACGGAGTCGGCCCTTGATAGAATGGGAGAGCTATCTGGGGGCGAATTCTCTCCCTTCTCCTCCTTCCCCTTCTCCTTCGTCTTCTATTTGTTAAAGCCAGACAGATGAACTGGAAGAGGCCCCCTGAGACGCTCTCCACGTAGAACCCAGAGGTCCTGAGGTCACCTCTTAGCAAAATCGCAGAGTGGCCCACAGAATAAAGGACGTGAACCATTAAGATCGGCGCCCCGGTTTAGAAACCATTGGTACCAAACCGACAGTTCAGCGGTGACTGAGAAGCGAAGATGCGGAGATCAGAGGGCTGGGAAACTAGAGTACCACACAGGGAACAGGCTGGACACAGGCAGAGAGCATGTTGGCACGGCGTGCTGAGTGTGACTCACCTCGCTGAGAACTCTGTGGAAATGGGTGGGGTGCCCTTTCACCCCCCAAATTTGAATAAAATATTATTAAAACAAAAAAGAGTGACCAAGTGGTCAGGACAGTAGTGTGTGAGGAGGTGTGTTGGAGGAGGGTGGGGAGTAGAGGAGGAAGAGCAGACGTCATCTGAACTGAGACCTAAAGAATTAGCATACTGTATATACTTGAGTATAAGCCGACCCGAACATCATCCGAGGCGCCTAATTTTACCACAAAACTGCATTAAAATGCACTGAAAAACTCGGCATATACACGAATATATACAGTAAGCCATGTAGGAGGAGCCCTGAAGGCACATGGGTTAAGTTCTGGGCTGCTAATCTCAAGGTCAGCAGTTCAAACCCGCTATCCTCTTTGAGGGAGAAAGATGAGGCAGGCTGTCTACTCCTGAAAAGATTTCCAGTGGGGAGAGGGCACTAGACCTGATTGTGATTACACAACTAATTTTAAAGGCGATTTAACCATGGGGGGAGAGGGGGATATTCCAAAACTGATTGTGGTAATGATTGTACAATTCTTGATATGATCAAATGATTGAACTATTGAGTTGTATGGTATGTAGATTAGGGGCCAATAAAAATGTTTTAAAAAATTCTGGCTTTGGAAGCCCTGGTGATGTCATGCTTACAAGTTGGGCTGCTAACCGCAAGGTTGGCAGTTCAAAACCACCTGCTGCTCCTTGGGAGAAAGATGAGGCTCTCTACTGCCATAAAGAGTTCACAGTTCAGAAACCCACAGGGGCAGTTCTACCCTGTCCTATAGGGCCCGTGTGAGTCGGCATCCACTCAATGGCAGTGAGTTTATGATATAAGTCACTGTGAGGCAGAATGGATTCATTGGCAGTAGGGAGGTCAGTATCAAGGGGCCCTGGTGTCACTGTGGTGAAGTGCTGGACTGGTAGCTGAAAGACTTCTTCGTGGTCATCTGTAAAGATGACAGACAGCCTTGGAAACCCTTAAAACACAAGCTCACAGCCATCGAGGCAATTCCGACTCACACAGACCCGAGAGGGCAGAGTAGAATTGCCTCAGGTCTTCAAGGCTGTAAACTTTTGTGGGAAACAGACAGCCTCATCTTTCTCCAGTAGGGTGACTGGTGGATCTGAACTACCGACCTCCTAAACTATGGATAGTTCTGTGGACAGTTTGCCATGCGTTAGACTCGACTCTCTGGCAGCAGGCTTGAATTGTTCTGGTTTATCCAGGAGGAGGAGGGGGATGAGGAGGAAGGGGAAAACCAGCTTGTGCAAAGGCCTTGGGAGCAGACAGGCTGGCCAGAAGCGGGACGGCGTCTGCCTTGTTGATGGCACCCTCCATGTAACATCTCTTAGCGCCTCTCTGTCATTTGTCTACCTTTTCAAACACTCTTCTGTTGACTGAGGGGGTTTTGTACCCGGCCCTGTGCTGAGCAATATGGGCTGACTCTGTTAGCCTCAGCCCTGCCCTCCTGGCCTCCCAGGAGTGGGGCAAGGCCAGAGGAGGCTTGGACAGAGCAGAGACCAGACGCTCGTGGAAGAGGGCACAGAGGGCACTCAGGATTAAAAAAAGCCCTTGCAAAGGCCTGAAAGGAAGAGCTAGCTGGCCTACCCTCCTTCCTCGGGGGTCGAGGCGAGGCGTGTGGGACCTACGGGATGCCACCCAGTGAGCCGGTCACTCTTGGGGCAGGAGGAGCTGGGGTTGGGGGGGAGGCAGGACCGTGTGCGTTTGAGCTGTATTTCATGGGCCTTGGGGAGCCAGGAAGCGAAGTGCTAAGGCAGTGGGTGAAGCTCCGCAAGACCTTGGGGCAAGCTGGACGCCTGCTGGGGATTCGGGGTGTCATCAACAAGAGAGGGCCACGGGCAAGCCCCCCTCCCTGTGGTACCTCAGAACTCACTGTCATTGAGTTGCTTTCTACTCATGGTGACCCTCTATGACAGGGTAGAACTGCCTCCTGTGAGTTTCCAAGACTCTTCCCCCTTTACGGGAGTAGAAAGCCCCATCTTTCTCCAGTGGAGTGGCTGATGGTTTCAAACTGCTGACCTTGCAATTAACAGCCCAATGTGTCAACCACTTTGTCACCAGGGTGCCCCCCCCCCACCGTGGCATAAGGCCCGTGAAATCATTAAGACCAGCTAACATCACACGCCTCACCAAAGCAGCGGTTCCAGCCATCACGTTGGCACTGCATTCAGTAATAAAGATCCCTATGGCCCTGGGCTGGAAGGAGCCTGAGGCAGGGTCACGGGCAAAGGAGAGAGTACAATCCCTCCATGGGGAGGCCATTCTCGTCAGACCCAGCTGGAGGGGAGGGTGGGAAACGGGTGGCTCACGCAGTCTCTGGCCCTGAGGGGTGCCAGCCTGGTGAAAGGAGAGAGTGAGCGAGCGAGGCAGCTCCGTGTGCTCTGTTCACCACAGAGGCCGAGGCAGGGGGCGGGCTCGGCTGGCGGTGGCAGGGGAGCCGTCAGTGGGGCAGGGTTCTGAAGTCCGTGGGGACGGTCTCTGTGAAGACATGAGGTGGCTGGTATGTCTCGGGTCATCTCTTAAGCTTGTCTGATCTGTGGGCCATTGGCTGCGGAGTGTGGAGGGGGCCAGAAGCAGGGACACGGAAGGGCATGGGCCATCACACGGAGCGGTGGGCGCGACCTTTCTCGCAGGTTTGCTGGGAGCCCCGGCAGGATTTTGAGCAGAGGCAGGCCACCTCTGCCAGCCCAGGGTGGCTGGAAACTATGGGTGCATGTGTGTGGCGTGATGGTCTCACAGGGAGAACATGCAGTCTGAACTGGGCCAGGGGCTGAGGGGTTAGGGAGGAGGGGACCACACAGGGGGATGCTTGTGAAGTTTCATCAGTGAGACTTGGGGACCAGTTGGCTCTTTTGGGGGTGAGTGCATGTCCAGGAGACATCTACACCCCCCTACCTTGATCTCCTGTCCCACCCAACGCCTGTCACCTCTAAGACCCAACATGTGGTTCCATCAATTTAAACCAATATACCACATGCCCCCCTTTTGCACTCTGTTCCTATTTTACTGTCCCCAATCCTGGGAACCCCCCTCATGACTGAGGCAACAGGAGCATCCCGGGCTCGGCTTGCTGGCTGGCATGGGGGCTTGGTGGGGTTGGGTGGTCACAGGAGACCTGGAACTTGAGAAGGAGGTGGAGAAGGCATGTGGCCAGCCAGCCTCCAGCGGGCCCTGCACAAAGAGAGCTGTGATGATGCTGGGACTCCCTCCACCTCAGTGGATCGAGACGGGTAAAACCCCGGGAGGTCTGGGAGTCTTGCCCGGCAAACTGGTTCCCATGGACCCTCCAGGCTGCAGTGGGGCATCGGTGGGTGCCGCTCTCAGAGCCTGAGGGAGAGTGGCCAGCTCCGGGGTCTTTCCTCATGTGCATCTCTTCATCCCTGCACCCAGCATCCCCAGGGAGGGACCCCAAGATGAAGGAGGCCCTGGGGCTGCCCAGGCTGCAGTGGGTGGACAGGCCTGGACACAGATGGTCCCGGCCCAGAGGAATAAGGGTTTGGGTGAGATAGGGGAACCCTGAAGAGTGTCACCTCACCCAGGCAGGGGCCATCAGGAAGGCTTCCTGGAGGAGGTGGGGAACTCTGGTGGGAAGAGAGAGAATGTACCAGGGGGCTTTAAAAAAGTTTATGGGAAAACGGCATTACCCCTTGGTTTCTGTGAAATCATTTGTTAATTTTTGATATGCTTTATTTCACCCTTAAAGCTGGAATAATATTAGGGAGACGGTCATTTTTTGAGAAATGTTTGAGTGCTTCACCGGTTTTCTTAGTCTTTTGACACATGTCTGTGTTTCTGCACGCACCTGTTGTCATCACCTTGTCGAGTCTCTTTTCCGGTCCCGCAAAACCCATCCGGTCCACTCTTTTCATGAGTTTTGAAGTCCTTAGGGTAATGAGCTCTGGTGGCGCTGGGGGTTAGGCACTGGGATGCTGACCTCAAGGCCGGTGGTTCAAACCTACCAGCTGCTCCGAGGGAGAAAGATGAGAACCGCCCACTCCTGTAACGATGGACAGCAAACCTGGTTCCAGAATATTCCCTCACCCCACATCTCATGCTGAGGGGCTCAGGGAAGCCACCGCAGGCAGCTCAGGGGAATCCTTGGGGCTGATCAGGGAAGGGGGAAATCAGACCACCTGTCTGGGGTCCAGCTCAGAACAAGAGTAGTGGCAGGGCAAGGAGGGGCGGTCCTTCTGATGGGCCTGAGCCTCTTGTAGGTCACAGGGTCAGCTGTCGGTGGGGAGGCCGCCAGTCACCTGCAGGTCCACCTGGGCCTGTGGTCTGAGCAAGCTCACTCCCAGGACTGGCGGTGATGTTGAAGTGTCTGGTGTGGCTTCTCCAGGTGGCCTTGGCTCTGCACAGCATGGCAGCTGTGCTCTGAGAACAGGCTTCCCACCAGACCCAGGGAAAGTCACAAGGCTTCTTTCCACCCAGAACATTGCATCCATTGCCTCTTACTGGCTGTGTGAGGCAGGGTTCTCTACGGAAACAAAACCAGGACACTGACGATTTTAGATAGCTAGATGGATAGATAGATTTATACAGCGAGAAGGACTATAACAGCTAATTAGTCCACACAGCAGTACAGAGGGCTCCCATCAACTCCCTTCCATGGAACACTTGGTATACTGGAAGTCCTTCAACTCATGTGGCTGCTGGGTCCAAGGTCAAGGAAGCAGATAGCAGAGTCCTCCCTTGGGCAGGGCAAGTAGTCTGTCCACAGGCAGCAAGCAACAGTCAGTAGCTCGGGAGCTTAGTGAAGCAAGCCTGGATGGCATATCGGATGCAAGTGACAGGATCTACCAGTGTGGGCAGCAGGTCTCGAAAGGAGCCTCAAGCTCTCGCAACGCGGTCCACAGGTTGGCCTGGCCCACAGGTAGTGTAGCTCACAGGTTGAGGCAGAGAACTAGCTAAAGCAGCAGCACACTCCAGCAGACTCTGATCACCAGAGAGCAAGAAAGAGCGGGGCGGGCCAAAGAGCCATTTATCTCTTTGCCCTCCAATCAAACTGAGACCTGACTAAGCCCACATGTTCCTATTGGCCAGGTTGGCACAATAAACCTTTCACATTGGCCAAGCGCATCATTCAGGCCAGCTTAAGTAGAAAGGATGGAGAATTAGACCTCACCCCTCAAGGAGTGGAAGCGCCATGGACTTTGAACCCGCCGCCGTACCTCTCTGTCCCCGCTTGGTAGAGGAGACCCTGGATCAGCGGAGGCAGGGGGCTTGTCCACGGTCACCCAGCTGGAACCCATGCGCTCCCCCTCAGACAGTAAACAGCGAGGACTCTGGGGAGGAGACAACTGGGGCTCTTCGCCCTGTGCTCACAAGCCCCTTTCTATCCCCAGAGGACACGGTTCTGCTAGGGCAGCGGTTCTCAACCTGTGGGTCACGACCCCTTTGGGGATCAAACAACCCTTTCACAGTGGTCAACTGATTCATCACAGTAGCAAAGTGACAGTGATGAAGTAGCAACGAAAATAATTTGATAGTTGGGAGGTCAGCACAACATGAGGAACTGTATGAAAGGGTCGTGGCATCAGGAAGGTGGCGAGCCACTGTGCTAGGACCTGGCCCTGACCCTCAGGCTGGCCATGGCTCCAGACTGAATGGAAAGTCGGGGCATCAGAACCTGGTGGTTGCACTCTGGGGGACCCATTGGGTGGCATTTCCTCTTAACTGGCAGTGTCCCCGTCACTAAGGGGAGCTGCCTCAGGACTCCTGTCAGGGGCACCCCAGAATTTCTCCTCATTGCTCTGCTGGCTATGCAGCTGTGTCCTGGTGGGGGGAAGAAAGGGGGAGTAGGGTGAGCACACTGGACCCCAGGCGGGGCTGGAGAGGCTGCATGGAGGTCTGGGGCGCAGGCCCACCGCTGAGCCCTGGTTCTGGCCCCCCAGCCCCGAGCCCCCGGCACCGGATCCTGCTGGACTTCCTCTTCCTGGACACCGAGTGCACCTATGACTACCTGTTCGTGTACGATGGCGACTCGCCCCGCGGGCCCCTGCTTGCCAGTCTGAGTGGGAGCACACGGCCCCCGCCCATCGAGGCCGCCTCAGGCAAGGTTGGTGGGACTGGGGGCCTGCAGGGGGTGGCCTAGAGCTGGGGCTGGAGGCCTCTGGGACACTGTGGAGACAACCCCTGGCCACTTTGTGCCCTGCAGATGCTGCTGCATCTATTCAGCGATGCCAACTACAACCTGCTGGGCTTCAATGCTTCCTTCCGCTTCTCGTTGTGCCTGGGGGGCTGCCAGGGCCACGGACAGTGCCAGCCGCCTGGGGTGTGCGTCTGCGAGCCGGGCTGGGGCGGCCCTGACTGCGGCCTGCAGGAGTGCCCAGCCTACTGTGGTGGCCACGGCTCCTGTGCTTCGGTGAGCCCGTCCCCAACCTGCTCCCCGGCCACCGTCTCCGAGATCTGCTCCCCCCTCCAGGCCCCAGCCTCTCTGTGTCCATACCTTCACAAGAACTGGACCTGTCTCCTGCCGGCCTCTATCGATAGCCCTTACTCTCATGCGTGAGCCCCGCCCTCCTTCCTCTGCCACGTCCTACTCCAGCCCCCACCCCAACCCCTCTGTGACTTGCCATGACAGTGAACCCCTTGGTTCCCAGCGACCCACTTGGGGCTGCAGGCCAAGGTCTTGGAGCTGGGATGTGACCCACCTGCCCTCTGTGTCCATCTGCCCCTCTCTCTTTGTGGATCTTTCTCTCCCATCTCCCGTTTCCTGTTGGTCTCTGTCTTCTCATCTCCATCTCTCTTCTCCCCCTGGTTGTGTCTCTCCCCACTCCCTCTCCGTTTCTGTCTCTTCCTGTCTCTGTCACCCCCCCTGCTTCTCTGTGATCTTTGTCTTCATGTTCACTCTCTCTCCCCATCCATCTCTCCTTCTCCTTTCTGCCCCTGCCCGCCAGAATCTGTCTCTGCCTGTTGAATTTTGTCTGTCTCTGTCTTGTCTCCTCCCCAACCCCCCAGCCCCTGGGACCGTGCCGCTGTGAACCTGGCTTCCTAGGGCACGCCTGTGACCTACACCTATGGGAGAACCAGGGGGCTGGCTGGTGGCACAACGTGAGCGCTGGGGACCCTGCCTTCTCTGCCCGGATTGGGGCGGCTGGCGCCTTCCTGTCCCCCCCGGGGCTGCTGGCTGTCTTTGGAGGTGAGCCGAGGGGGCCCATGTGGGGTCTGGAGGCCTGGCCGCCTGTGGCCCAGGCTTGAGACCGTCTGTCCTGCACAGGCCAGGACCTCAACAACGCCCTGGGTGACCTTGTCCTCTACAACTTCTCTGCCAACACCTGGGAGCGCTGGGACGTCAGCCCTGCCCCGGTATGGACGCCCCCCCCCACTCCGACCTGCTTCTCCCAGCCTCCATGCCCTCCCTGGGATTGTCTTCTCTGGGCCCCCTTCCTTGATCTCCCTTCTTCCATACGTCTCATCTCTGCACCTCCTGCCTCTCCCTTTCTGTCCCCATGCCGACATCTCTCTCCGCTTCCTTGGTCACCTCCCCTGTTTCTTCCTGTGCCTCCCTGACTCTCCTCCATCACCCCATGTCCTTTCTCTGCATTCCCAGGCCCCCGTTTTTCTCTCTCCGCCCCTCGCTGTCTGTCTGCCTGCCTGCCTCGGTCTCCCCGAGTCTGTGTGCAGGTCCTCCCCATCTCCCGCTGGCTCTGTGGCTTACTGTTACCTGCTCTCTCCATCCGGCCTCCTTGTCTCCCGCACAGGCTGCTCGACATTCCCACGTGGCGGTGGCCTGGGCTGGCTCCCTGGTGCTGATGGGCGGTGAGCTGGCCGATGGCTCGCTCACCAGCGACGTGTGGGCTTTTAACCCCCTGGGCGGGGGCCACTGGCAGCTCTTGGCTCCACCTGCCTCCAGCCCCCCGGGTCCCCCGGGCCTGGCTGGCCATGCGGCTGCCCTGGTGGACAACACCTGGCTGTACGTGTCTGGTGGCCGCACCCAGCACGACCTCTTCTCCTCTGGCCTCTTCCGGTTCCGCCTTGACAGGGCCAGTGGGGGTCACTGGGAGCAGGTGATCCTGATGGGTGGCCGGCCCCCCGCCGCCACTGGCCACTCTATGGTGTTCCATGCCCCATCCCGTGCCCTGCTCGTCCATGGGGGACACCGGCCCTCCACTGCCCGGTGAGTTGACCTGCCCCCCAGGCTGGGTATGGCCTGACACGCTGGGCCTGGCTGCTCCCTCCTGGTGTTCACCCATTCGCTCCCTCCTTTATTCACTCCATTCATTCACTCACTCACTGCTTTGTTCCCTCACGTAAGCCCCACTCCTTTTTCACGATGTTGTCAGGGCAGGTTGATTCAGCAGTTTCCGCACACGACATCGTTCTGAGATAGCGTGACTGTTCCCCTGATTTCTCTTTTGTTCTCCAGTCTTTTATTCGGCCTCTTGGTCAGTTAGGAGCTCTGGCGACGTAATGGTTCTGTGCTGGACTGCTAACTGCAAGGTCAGCAGTTTGGAGCCCCCGGCTGCTCCGTGGGAGAAAGATGAGGCCGTCTACTCCCGTGAAGAGCGACAGTCAGGGCAGTCCCACCCTGCCCTGTAGGGCCAATCTATGGCAGTGCGAGAGGCAGGGCCAGTGCCTCCCATCCATTCAGACCCCCAACTGCCGGGTGTCCAGTCCCAGCTAGGTGAGGAGGGTTGTCCCAAGATGGGTCAGACCTGGCCCTGTGCCTGGAGACCCTTGAGTTCAGAGGGGGCCACGGCCCCAGAGTTCCCGAGTGTCCAGAGGAAGGAGCGAAGCCCGCCCTGGCCTGAGCGTCTGCCCCCCCTCCCCCAGGTTCTCCGTTCGGGTCAACTCCACTGAGCTCTTCCACGTGGACCGGCGTGTGTGGACCACCTTGAAGGGCCGGGACGGGCTGCAGGGGCCTCGGGAGCGAGCCTTCCACACGGCTAGCGTCTTGGGCAACTACATGGTGGTCTACGGTGAGAAGCCCCGCCCCCGACCGCCTGAGCTAAGGCTCCAGCCTACGTGGGTGTCCCCACACCACCCCCAGGCTTGCCCATCAAATCCCTTCCTGTCCTTTCCCAGGGGGCAACGTGCACACCCATTACCAAGAGGAGAAGTGCTATGAAGACGGCATCTTCTTCTACCACCTCGGCTGCCATCAGTGGGTGTCTGGGGCCGAGCTTGCCCCCCCAGGTACCCCCGAGGGTGAGTGGCCACCCGCGCTTCCCAGAGCGGCTCCTGAGCTCCCCATCAGCGTGAGTCAGAGGTCCTGTTGAAGTGGGCCTCCAGAGTCTAACCCAAGCTGCAGGCAGGATTAGGCTGTTGCCATAGAGATGGGAGACTGCTCCAGCAGCATCAGATCTGGGCTCCAATCCACCAGCCAGGTTCTGCCAGTTTCCACCCGCCCCAGGGAAGTGCCTGAGAAGAAGTGACCTGTCCCAGGTAATCCCAGCAACACCGTGGCAGAACCAGGACGGCTGAGCCCACGCAGTCAGCTGCACAAGACCCAGCACGTGATCTCTCTGTGGAGACTCGCGCTCAGGTCCTCTGGACGTATCCTCAGGAGGCACCTGGAGAAGGACGTACCGTTCTTGGTACAGTAGAGGGTCAGCCCCAAAGCGGAAGACCACCAACGAGACGATCGATGCAATGGCCGCCGCCGCAACGGGCTCACGTACAGCGACCACTGTGAGGATGGCGCAGGACCTGCGGCCACACTGAGTCAGAACTGATTTAACGGCACCTGACGTCGTCGACGACGACAGCAGTAACTCCCTCCCAGCCAGTCCCTTCCCGTCCACTCCACGCCATGAAAGGAGGACGATGGGAACACCTGCCCCACGGGCCCTTGGGAGGTCGATGGGGATGAAGCAGGAGGGCAGCTGCAGCTGGACAGACAAGAGCAGGTGGCAGCCAGGCAGCCTGCTGGACATAGGAGCCTCTTCTCCGGCTCTCCCAGCTCTGTGAGGCTCTTAGAGGAAGAACTGAGCTCAGGGAAGTGGAGTTGCTCAGCCAAGGCCACACAGTCAGTGGGAGATCCAGGAGTCTTCCTTTCAGAGCACTATCTTCCCGTGTTTGGTGAAAGTGTACACGGTGAGCTAGGTTCCCGTTGGACAGTTTCCACGCGGTTGTTCAGTGGCGTGGGTCACACTTTGCCCCAGGCACCAACATTCTCCGCCCAAGTGTGCTGGTGGTTCCAGTGCCCAAATTCCCCTGCTTGCTTCGCATCTTCTCGTCTCAGTTCAGAGCCAATGTGGAGGCACTGATCTTTAAACTTTGGGTCACCAGCTGTTGCTCTAAGTGGTCACCTCAGGGGACAGCTGAGGTTCAAGGTTGAAAGAGGGCCTTAGGGCAGTCGTCTCGCAGGGAATCTTCTGGTCCCGACTGTCCAGTTAGCTGGCCTTTTATTCTTTTAAGAATTTGAGCCTTGTTTGACATCCTTCTTCCATTCTGGTCAAGACCAGCTACTGTCCCCCCAGTCGGGGAGGTCAGCTGTGGTAGCCGGGCACCATCTAGTTCTTCAGGTCTCCAGACATGGGGCTGTGGGCTGGGTGGGCGCTCAGTCCACTCTGAGATTGCGTCACCTGCTTCTTGCTCCTCCTTCTGTGCTCCTGACAAGCAGAACCAGTGGTCGTGTCATCCACGCTGGATCCGAGTCTTTCGCTCCCCAGGGGTTGTGCTCCACCTGGCTAGTTGGGCAGGGGGGCAGGAACCCAGAGAAGGCAAACAAGTAGCCCCAGTAGTAGCCCCAGGGCCAGGCGGCCTGGGACATTTTCCTCAGGCAGGTGGGGTTGAAACAGCTCCCGGGAGGCTGGACTGAGGGGCCCGAGAGTCAGGATGTCCCCCTCCCACGCCACCCGAGACTCCCTACAGGTCATGGGCTAGGGTAGAAAGTTCTTAGACTCTGGTCTTCTCCTAGGCCGAGCAGCGCCTCCCAGTGGCCGCTACTCACATGTGGCGGCCGTGCTCGGTGGCAGTGTCCTGTTGGTGGCTGGGGGCTACAGTGGCCGGCCCCGTGGGGACTTGATGGCCTATAAGGTGCCCCCCTTCGTGTTCCAGGCCCCCGCCCCGGATGTGAGTACTGGAGTGAGGGGCGTGGGGCGGGAGGGCCGGAGGGTAACTGGTGGAGGAGGCAGCATGAAGGTTGCTGGGACCCCAGGAGAAGGAGGAGGGGGAGGGCCCATGGGGGAGGAAGGATGGCTCCTGGGGTGCTCAGGGAGGGTAAGTGGGGAGCACGGGAGGTGGGCCCCCATCCGAGCAGACCCATCCGGTCCCATCTCTCTGCAGTACCACCTGGACTACTGCTCCATGTACACGGAGCGCAGCGTCTGCTCCCGCGACCCCGAGTGCAGCTGGTGTCAGGGGGCCTGCCAGGCTGCACCCCCACCAGGGACCCCCTCGGGGCCGGTGAGTGCCTTTCCAGACGCCCCTCCCAGTAGGAAAGGACCTTCCTGTGCACCTTGGGGGGTTGTTCTTGCGTCTAGGAACCTCCTCTTTGACCCCTGACCTCTTGACACCCCCAGAGCCTTTTGAACCTAGGACCCTGCCCCTGAACAACGCCCCCCACCGTACACCCACACCCACATTCCCACACATTTGCATCCCGTACGTCTCTGGCATTCCACCCCGCCTTCAGTTCTTTATCCTACAATGTCTGAGACCCTCGTGTCTGTGCCCCTTCCCACTGACCTGCGCTGAGAGTGACTGGCCCCTGCCCACCCTGCAGTGTCCAGCCGCCAGCTGCCTGGGTCTGGGTCGTCTCCTGGGGGACTGCCAGGCCTGCCTGGCCTTCAGCAGCTCCACAGCCCCTCCCCGGGGCCCCGGCACCCTGGGGTGGTGCGTGCACAACGAGAGCTGCCTCCCACGGCCTGGTGAGTGTCCCCCAGAGGTGGCTGGTCCAGGGGAAGGGGGTGCCGCCTAGCACCTGACTCCCATCTCCCCTTCTCAGAGCAGGCCCGCTGCCGGGGGGAGCAGATCTCAGGCACTGTGGGCTGGTGGGGGCCGGCGCCTGTCTTTGTTACGTCCCTGGAGGCCTGCGTCACCCAGAGCTTTCTGCCTGGCCTGCACCTGCTCACGTTCCAGCAGCCACCCAACGCCTCGCAGCCCGACAAGGTGGGCGCTTGGGGCTCCATGTGGACCCCAGTAGTCTTCACCTTCCAGGGTTGGACTTGCCAGATTGATGAGCAGATAACGGGGTTTTTTCTTTAAGAGATTTCTCTTTTTAAAAACATCCTTAGCTTTTTAAAAAGACCGATAATGTACTGTGTCTTGGGTCCCGGTGTACACAGCCGCTTAGGTTCCCGGTCTGCAGCCTGGACCACCGTTGTTCAATGGCCCTGGTTCTGTCCAGTACACAGTGACTGCCCGTGTCCCCCTGCTTCTGCTCCGCTGGCCGTTGTCTAGCCTCCCTGCCCCCTTCCTTCTCCTCCTCGTTTTAAAGTCGTCGTTGTCAGGGCTCATTTGTTAAAATATCTAACTTACTGTGGCTTCGATGAAGGTTCACACAGCGCTTCCCATAAGCGATCCTTTAAGGCGCACAGTACTGGGGGCGGACGGTCTGTTTTCAGCTGGTGTGTTAGAGAGGAGGTGACCGTAAGGGTTAGTTTGGGGTTGAGGTTTACAGAGCGTCTCGGGGCCTTAGTCTCAGGGGGCCCTCCAGGCTCAACCAGTCCAGCGAGAAAACAAACATTTAAGTTGGTGGTGAAATATATACGTAGTTAAAAGGAAAATCCATGTACGTACAGGACAGTGCGGCCATCACCACCAGCTGGTTGCAGGACATCCCATTGGCCCAGAAAGACCCCCTGTGCCCATGAACCAGTCCCTCCCCATTCCCTGGGTCTCCCAGCCCCTGGAACACAGTAATGTGCTTTCTATCTCTGTGGGATTGGATGTCTCAGATAACTCTGGGTAGTTCATCTAAAGAGAATTATACATGCTCTCTTTTTAAAAAACAATTTTATTGGCATGTATAAATCACGTATCACACAAGTTACTGTATATATACTCGAGTAGAAGCCGAGTTTTCCAGCACATTTTTAATGCCGTTTTTGTGGTAAAATTCGGTGCCTCGCCGGATATTCAGGTCGGCTTATACTCGAGTTCAGTCTTGTTCAGAAGAGCTGTACAAGCATCACCACAATCGATTCTAGAACATTTTCTTCTTTCTTGTGCTCATGGTTCATAACTCCCTATTCCCCCCTATCCGCCCCTAGCAAGACACCATTCAGCCACCGGCTGTCTCTGTAGGTTTACCTGTCCTGGATTTCAAAGACAGAAAAACAGGCCAACAGAGCAGCAGCAAGCAGACAACAATGCACACGGTCTGTGTCTGGCTTCTCTCCCTTGTTGCTGGGTACCCTCCGGCCCATGCCCGCTCACAGCCACCCTGTGCCCACAGAATGGGGTGTCACCTGCCCCACCCTCAGAGTCGTGGCTGAGCCCGTGGTTCCAGTCATCTCCTTGAGGACCTTTCCTCTCTCCTTGACCTTCGGCTCTCCCCAGCATGCTGCCCTTCCCCAGGGACTGGTCCCAAAGTGTGGGAGGCCAAGTCTTGCTCGCCTCACTTCTAAGGAGCATTCTGGCTGTACGGCCTTGTTCACTCCTGGTGTGGTAGCCCACGGACTCTTCGGTACCCTTCCCCAGAGCCGTAAGGAAACGGCATCAATCTCCTCCAGCTGTTCCTCGTCATCCTGCAGTTCATCTGAAACCTCGGGGTTCCAGGCACTCCGGGCTTGAGTCGGGCGCATCGTGGTCCTCATGGGGACATCTGCTTTGTAGCGCTTGACCAAGGTGGTTTCTTTCTTTTTTTTTTTTGGTTTCTTTCATTTGTCTCTAAAATCATTTTATTGGGGGGCTCATACAACTCTTATCACAATCCATACATGCATTTGTTGCCCTCATCATTCTCAAAACACTTGCTCTCCACTTAAGCCCTTGGCATCAGCTCCTCATTCCCCCTCCCTCCTTCTCCCCCTCCCTCATGAACCCTTCATAATTCATAAATCATTGTTATGTTGTCATATATTACACTGTCCGACACCTCCCCCCACCCTCTTCTCTGCTGTCCATCCCCCAGGGAGGAGGCTATACGTAGATTCTTGTAACTGGTTCCCCCTTTCCATCCCACCCTCCCTCCACAGTGGTTTGTTCTTTGTTTGTTTGTTTTTTACAGCACATTTTCCCAGTGCATTCTGTCCTTTGATTTTTTTGGACAGTTTTATTGGCACTTCATCCACATATCATACAATTCAGTAGTTCGATCCTATCAAGATGAGCTGTACAATCATCAACAATCAATTTTAGAACATTTTCTTCTTTCTGTACTCCTTGTTATTCATACACTTTTTTCCTTTCTACTTTGGCAAAAATGTACATAACAAATCATTGTCCCACTCAACACCTTCTACAGGTACAATTCGGTATACTTGATTATCCTTGTCGTGTTGTGCAGCCATTATTGACATCCTTCTCCAAAGTGCTCCGCCACCATTACCATGAACTCAGTGTCCACCCCCAACAACGCGTCCTCCTTCGCCCATGGAAACCACGCGTCGTTTGGTTTCTTTCTTGTTTTAAGAAGTTTTCTTGATACAATAGTCCCATATCATACACTTCCATAGTAACATCACTTTTTAAAAGAATTGTGTATTTATACCACCACGATCAATTCACTGCTCCCATGAGCATTGATTGTGGATCTGGCTAAAACGAAGTCATTGGCAGTTTCGATCTTTTCTCCATTTATTCTGACAGTGTCAGTTTGGTTGTGACGATTTCTCTTTATCTTGATATCTAATCCATACTGAGGGCTGATCTTCATTAGTAAGTGTTTTACTTTCCTTCTTCAGCAAGCAGGGTTTGCCCTGTGCATTGCGTGTTTCTGATCAACAGGAGCCTGTCTTCCCAGCTTCCCTGCTTGAATCGGTATGGTGAAAGGGTGCACACCTGACGCGCACACACGCTTCCTGATTTCCAGCCGTGCGCCGTCTCTTACATTGTTCTGTTCAAAGGATGAAATGTTCTGGAACATCCGCTCTTGGCAATCCACAGGTCGTTAGGATCCACAGAGTAAAATGCCTTTGCATAGTCCGTACGATACAGATAATCATCTTTCTGGTGTTCTCTGCTTTCAGTGAGGATCCATCTGACATCAGTAATGATAGCCCTCGTTCTGTGTCCTCATCTGACCGGGGCTTGAATTTCTGACGGCTCCTTGCAGATGCCCGGCTGCAGCCACTTCTTGAAATCCCACGTGTGTAGGACATTAAGGATGCTCTTGCGTCGGCTCTGACTGTAGCAACCCTGTGTACAACAGGATGAAACACTGCCCGGTCCTCTGCCGTCCTCCCCATCGTGCTCATATTTGACTCATCTGTGCAGTTTTGTTGAGGGTCTCCCTCTGTGTCCCTGCCCCCCACTGTACCAAGCACCATGTCCTTCTCCAGGGACTGGCTGCTCCTAACAACATGTCCAGAGGACGTGAGACCAAGTCTTACCATCCTTGCCTCTAAGAAGCATTCTAGCTGTACTTGGTCCAAGATGGCTTTGTCACGGTACTGTCCGTGTTCTACTTCGGTCTTCCTTCTTCAGTGTCCACCTCTCACATGCATATTCATGATACTGTTTGATGATGCCCATCTTCTATTGGGCCACCTTCCTTTGGAATGGACACAGATGTGAAGCTCTTGCAATCTCCTGACCAGGTAGCTGGCTTCCAAATGTGCATAGACTAGTGCCATCAAAAGTTGCTGAGCAAAAAATATAATCTCTCTCCTCTGGCCTACACCCCACTCACTGCGTGACCCAGGTCTGCCTGGCCCCTGCGTCCCTCAGCTGAAGAACACTTTGCCTCTTCCTGAAGAGCCACCGTCTGTCTTTTCTGTTCTTCCCGTCTTCCTGGTCAGATACGTGCAGCTTCAGTATGTTTCTTACACAAAAGGCACCGTGCGACCTCCACCACAGGAGCGCCCCCTTGCTCTCACGGAACGTGTCCTGGTGGGCTTCCCATCACAGAGCTTCGCAATTACCCGTGTTTCCCATTTTGGCTTCCTTGTCTGTATCCTGTCTTCTTCTTTTCTTAAATTGGGGGCTATATCAGGCCGGTCTCTTTTGTGATGGGCCGATGTGTCCCCCCCTCCCCTGCATCGTCCATGTCGTCAGACATGCTGCGGACTCCTCCTCATCGGGTCGCCTCACCTGCCGTGCCGCTGCACCTGTGTGCTGCAGTTGGTTTCTCCATCCGCCACTAGGACCTCTTTAGGGGGCCGCCCACTCTTTGTGATGCTGAGCGCTGCCGCCTGGCCTGTTTGTGGCGGTCATGCTCTGTCACGCCGCTGTGCGTAGCTGACTTGGACAGCCTGCCTCTCTCTCACGGATGCTTGGGGCCCTCTGGTCTTTTGTCACATGGGCCACAGAGCATGGCTGTGACGATGAACGGTGGACTGGGACTTCTCAGGGCTCAGGTGGGAGGCGGGAGTGGGAGAGAAGGATGCTGAAAGGCCTTGGGGTTGGGAGGAGCAGGGCATGGGGTGGCCGTGGCCTCTGGGACCGCCATTATAGCAGCTTTGTGGTGTTGCGGCCTGACTCATTTCTCCCAGGTCTCAGGCTCTCATTTGGTGACATGGGGAAGACGGATGGGCTGCCGGGTCTCTTCTGGCTCTGCTGTGGTTTGAGGGGCTGTCCGGAGAGGTATTCACTCCTCTCCCGCTCCCCCACCCGGCCACCTGCTGCAGGTCTCCATCGTCCGCAGCACGACCATCACCTTGACACCCAGCCCAGAGACAGACGTGTCCCTGGTCTACCGTGGCTTCATCCACCCACTGCTGCCAGGGGGGCCTGGCGGTGCCGGAGCTGAGGACGTGGCGGTGTGGGCTCGGGCCCAGCGCCTCCATGTCCTGGCTCGGATGGCCCGAGGCCCTGACACCGAGAACATGGTGAGGGGACCTGGGCGTTGAGGGGGGTGTTTGTGGTAATTGTCGGGGGACGGGTGGCTTAGGGGTACCGGGGAGGGTTGGGGGCAAATCGGAGGATCAGAAGATCCCCCTTGTGGAGGAGGGAGGGCCCTGAAGTCCAAATGTGGGTTTCCTGTTGTGGGCAGACTTGTGAAGCCGATGGGGAGGGACTGGGTGACCTTTGCCCTGAGGGGGCAGTGAGCCAAGCCGGAGAGTTGGAGTGCTTGGAGGTTTTGGGGGCCTAAGGGACTCAGAGGCCCTCCTCCTGGTCCCAGGAAGAGGTGGGGCGCTGGGTGGCCCAGCAGGAGAAGGAGACCAGGCGTCTGCAGCGCCCAGGCTCAGCCCGCCTCTTCCCGCTGCCTGGGCGGGGCCACAAGTACGCAGTGGAGATCCGGGGCCAGCTCAACGGCTCCGTGGGCCCCGGGCACAGTGAGCTCACCCTGCTCTGGGACCGGACTGGCGTGCCAGGCGGCAGCGTAAGTGCCCACTCCTGGCCTCTGATCCCCTGGGTGTGGCTTCACTCCCCTGGACCCCCTCCCGCTTCCCCTAACTCCCTGGGTCCTGACTCTTGGCTCTGAGGCCTGGGCCTCACTTTAACTTCCTAGGCCCCAACCTCTGACCCCCAATCGCATAGGCTGACTTCATCTACATCTTCTGACTCCTGTCCTGTCCCCCCTGCCCTCCGTTCTTGCACCTCCATCTCTAGAGTCGCTCAGATCCTACTCCCCTTCGGTCTGCAGAGCCCCCAAATCCAGATTGCATGTTCCATGTGGTCTTCAAACCCTTAGCCTCAGTCTTTAGCCCCAAGCTCCGACCACACCCCCAGGCCTAAGCCCTGCGTCCTGATCTGAGGGAGCGCTGTGACCCCCAGACCCTCACCTGACCCCCGCAGGAGATCTCCTTCTTCTTCCTGGAGCCCTTCCGCTCAGCGGCCTGCGCCTCCTACTCCTCTTGCCTGGGCTGCTTGGCTGACCAGGGCTGTGGCTGGTGCCTGGCCAGTGCCACCTGCCACCTGCGTCAGGGTGGGGCCCACTGCGGCGGCAGCGATGGGACTGGCGGCTCCCTGCTGGTGCTGGTGCCCACCCTCTGCCCACTCTGCGAGGAGCACCGCGACTGCCACGCCTGCACCCAGGTGCCCACCGAACCAGGAGGGGCCCATCTCTGGGCGGGCAGACTGGGAAAGGAGAGTCTCTCTGAGAAGGGTGGCTGAGCAGATGGGGAGAGATGGGCCCTGGGAGTCGGGGCTGCCCCTCAACCCAGGAGGGTTGGCTCAAATGGCCCGGGAGCCCTAGAGTAGGTCTGTGGGCCAGGCTAGCTCCCAGGTCCTGGGGAGGAGGTCAGGCGTCCATGTCCCTCTGCCACAGCTGCCTCCCCACGGAGAAGTTCCTTGTGAAGATAAGGGGGCCACAAGGCATGGCCATCGGGTTCCCCCCTCAGCCACCGAGCTCTCCCCATTCAGCCACTCTGTTCCCCCACGAAATTCCCTCCCTTAGCTACTGAGCCCCTCCACTCAGCCACCAACTACCCCCTCCATCAGTCACTCCTCTCTCCTACTGAATCCCCCCACTCTGCCCCTCGTCTCCAGTGAAAGAGAGCACGGTGCGCTCCCTGTTCCCCTGTGGTTTAGGAGAAGCCTCCGAGTGGCATTGCGTGGTGCTGTTCGGACCGTGTGCAGCCTCCCGGGCCAATCACAGCTTGGGAGGGTGGGGTGAGAAGTTGGGGAGGGGATGAGCAGAACCACCTCTTGACCCTTCCCGGATACCAAGTGTTGAACCAGCTGCTCCCGGACCACACAGAGTGGGTGCTGCTGCCCAAAGACGGGGTGGGTGCTGGGCAGGCACCAACCACGGAGATCTTTGGCAGGTGGGGGTGTCCCATAGGCAGTTCAGGAGGGCATGGGCTTACAGGGTGTGGTGCTGACTACTGCCCCTCTACTCCCCGCCAGGACCCCTTCTGCGAGTGGCATCAGAGCACTAACCGCAAAGGGGATGCTGCGTGCAGCCGGCGGGGCCGGGGCCGGGTCGCCCTGAAGAGCCCGGAGGAGTGCCCCCCGCTCTGTAGCCAGTGAGCCTAGCTGGGCCAGGGACAGCTCCCACAGCTGGGGGAGGGGGTGCATGTGGACCGGGCAAGGCAGTGACCCTGACCTCGTCCCCCAGGCGCCTGACCTGTGAGGACTGCCTGGCCAACTCGAGCCAGTGCGCTTGGTGCCAGTCCACCCACACGTGCTTCCTATTCGCCGCCTACCTGGCCCGCTACCCACACGGGGGCTGCCGCGGCTGGGACGACAGGTGCGGCCTGTGGGCGTGTGTGTGTGTGTGTGTGTGTGTGTGTGTGTGTGTCCAGGTCCGGGCTGGCAGAGGGCCCGGGCACTGAGCAGCCCACCCCTGCCCCCTGCAGCGTACACTCGGAGCCGCGGTGCCGCAGCTGCGACCGCTTCCTGACCTGTCACGAGTGTCTGCAGAGCCACGAGTGCGGCTGGTGTGGCAACGAGGACAACCCCACGCTGGGCCGGTGGGCATGGCCGCCGGGCGGGGCGGGGGCGGGGTCAGGGGGTCTGCTCGGTCTAACGTCTCTTTGCCCGCCCCTCTGTGCCCCGTTTTCCTTGCTGTACCCCCCTGCTCTCTTTCCCCTCCCCAATTCTGACTTGGGCCTCTCATCCCCTGCCTCGGGGCTCCCCTCTCTCCCCGCCCTCTGTGGCTTCCATCCCTGTCCCTTGTCCGCCTCCACCCGGCCTCCCCTCTTCCTCGCTGGCTCCTCTTGACTCTCCCTTCCCTCCCCACCTCCTCCCCTCATCTCCTATCTCACCCCCACCCCCACCCCCAGGTGCCTGCAGGGGGACTTCTCGGGGCCCTTGGGTGGGGGCAACTGCTCCCAGTGGGTCGGGGAGGGCCTGGGGCTGCCTGTGGCCCTCCCAGCCCGCTGGGCGTACGCCCGCTGCCCAGACGTGGACGAGTGTCGGCTGGGCCTGGCGCGGTGCCACCCGCGCGCGACCTGCCTGAACACGCCCCTCAGCTACGAGTGCCACTGCCAGCGAGGGTACGAGGGGGACGGCAGCACACACTGCAACCGCACGTGAGTGGCCGGGCCTCCCTGACGGGGTCCCTGGTGCTGGCGTGCTAGCCTCCTTCCTGTGGGCCCAGCATCCCCTTGGCTTTAGCTTGCAGACTGGGTCCTCATTAGAGTGACCGGGGTGGGGGGGGGTCCATGGAGACCCCCTCCCCATATAACACTAGCTACCAACCAGTTCTCCAGAGACTAGGCTGGAGTCATCAGCATTGCCATGGAGACGAGGGGAACAAGTTGAAAGGGTTTCCACAGAGCAAGATCACCTGTGGTGATGTGTGGTTGCCATAGAGATGGAGGGCAGTACGGGGGATGGGTTCTCTTGGTGACAGGGCCACCCACACAGCCCTGGACCAAGGAGACAGGCCAGTGGTGGATTTGAGGGGAGGTGGAGGGGGTGGTTTGGAGTTCTAAACCTGACTGGCTCTTCCCCCAACCTGGCCTTAACCCCCCCTCCTCCCCCGACCCCCAGGTGCCTGGAGGACTGTGGGCACGGGCTGTGTAGTGGGCCTCCGGACTTTACCTGTGTGTGTGACCTGGGCTGGACCTCTGACCTGCCGCCACCCACTCCTGCCCCAGGGCCCCCCACCCCCCGCTGTTCCCGGGACTGTGGCTGCAACTTCCACAGCCACTGCCGAAAGCGGGGGCCTGGCTTTTGTGATGAGTGCCAGGGTGAGGACACCTACCTTGGACACCACCCTGGCCCAGCCCCTTGCCCCCAGCATGGGTGTCAGCCTCCCCTGGTTTACCCCCGCCACCCCAACCATTCCTTCCTGCTGTCTCGGACGGGCCGTTTCCCCGCCCTCTGTCTGGGCTTGGCTTCCCTGCATTGCAGCAGTGGAGTGGGGGGTCGGGTAGGCTGGGCCAGCCCCTGACGTGGTGCCCCATCTGCTGGGCCCTCACAGACTGGACATGGGGGGAGCACTGTGAGCGGTGCCGGCCCGGCAGCTTCGGCAACGCCACGGGCTCGGGGGGCTGCCGGCCCTGCCAATGCAACGGGCACGGGGATCCGCGCCGCGGCCACTGTGACAACCTCAGTGGGCTCTGCTTCTGCCAGGACCACACCGAGGGCACCCACTGCCAGCTCTGCTCCCCTGGCTACTATGGGGACCCCCGGTGAGCCAGGCTACACGCTGGGGCAGGACCGGGTGGGGCTGGGGTCGGGGAGCGGTGGGACAGGGCTATTTGATGCTGCCTCTCTTCCGTACCCCCCCAGAGCTGGTGGCTCCTGCTTCCGGGAGTGTGGGGGTCGCGCCCTCCTCACCAACGTCTCCTCCGTGGCACTGGGCTCACGCCGGGTCGGGGGGCCGCTGCCCCCAGTTGGTGGGGCGACAAGAGCAGGGCCGGGCCTGTCCTACTGCGTGTGGGTGGTATCAGCCACTGAGGAGCTCCAGCCCTGCGCCCCTGGGACCCTCTGTCCACCACTCACCCTCACCTTCTCCCCTGACAGCAGCACTCCTTGCACGGTAAGCCCTGAGGGGCAGGTACCAGAACCGCATACTCCCCAATCTGCATCCCCAGGCAGTCTGACCCCAGCCCCCACATTTTATCCCCTAGCCCTTTGTTTCTTAGCGGGGCCCCAAACTTTCAGATCACCTCCTGTGTTCTGGATTCCAGTCCCCCATTCTCCAGGTCCTCAGCTCCCCTTCACCTTGTGAACCCATGCCGACTGGTTAGTGCGGACTGCCCGGATCGGTGCATTTAGAACAAGGCTAAACGCAAGAGTCTTTCTTGATTGATTAGCTATGTCTGCTCTGGGCACAGGATGGGGGCTGGTGGTCTGCGTGCCACCATTTGGCAGCCCTGCCCCAGATCCCCAGGCAGCTCATTTTCCAGACCCAGATTGCCCCCTCCTACCAAACTCCTCCCCCTCCCCTGTCAAGCCTTCCTCTTTCTCACCCTTCTGGTACCCCATTCTTTGACTCTATGCCCTTCCAGCTGAGCTACGTCCTAGCCTTTGATGGATTCCCTCGCTTCCTGGACACTGGTGTCGTCCAGTCAGACCGTAGCCTCATTGCTGCCTTCTGTGGCCAGCGGCGGGACAGGCCCCTCACCGTGCAGGCCCTGTCTGGTATGGGGGCGCTGAGGGCGGGGACCTCTTCATGGGCCTCAAGATCTGAGGTGGCTCCAAGACCCAGGTTCCAGCCCAGCTCTGCCATTGACTTCCTGGGTGGCGCTGTCCTTGGCTATCTCCGGGCCTCTGTTTCCGTAGCTGAGAGTCAAGTAGGACTGTGTGGCTGGGTTGCCTCTTGCAAGAAGAGCACAAAATGTGTGGCAGCTCCTTAGTTCTGTTTCTCAGCCAGGGGCCATCTTGCCCTTGTGGGACATTGGGGACACTTGACTGCACCTGGTGGCGCAGTATGGGAGCCGTGGTGGCGTCCTGGGTTATGCGTTGGGCCTCAAGGTCAGCAGTTCAAACCCACCACACGCTGCATGGGAGAAAGACAGGGCTGTCAGCTCCCATGAAGGTTGGCAGTCTCGGAAACCCACAGGAGCAGTCCTACTCTGGTCTAGAGGGTCGCTACGAGGCGGCCTCTGTTCACTGGTGGTGAGACATCTATGGGAGAGTGCTCCTCGCTCACTCACTCGCCGGAGGGGAGGCTCAGTTTACCCCAGAGAGCACAGGGAGCTCTGGAAAGGTATTGAGCCTCCCACGGCAGGCCCGGTTTCTGTTTCAGCGCGCTGCTATGAGGAGGAGGGTTGGGAGGGCCTGCAGGGAGGAGGGGGGACAGGGACCTGGCTTGGGTGGCGGCAGAGGGATGAACGATTGAGGTCAGGCTGACAGACGGAGGGACTGTGATGGGCTGCTGGAGGAACGGGCCGAGGGAGAACCCATCAGCTGCCCAGGGTTATCTGCGGCCACAGGCTCCTGCTTCACTGCCCGTTATGCTGACTGTTCTGGAAACTCGGCCGGAGCAGTGCCTGACACCCCCCCTCCCCCCAGGGCTGCTGGTGCTGCACTGGGAGGCCAACGGCTCGGCCTCCTGGGGCTTCAACGCCTCGGTGGGCTCTGCCCGTTGCGGCTCTGGGGGCCCCGGGAGCTGCCCCGTGCCCCAGGAGTGTGTGCCCCAGGACGGGGCTGCCGGTGCTGGTCTCTGCCGATGCCCCCAGGGCTGGGCTGGCCCACACTGCCGCATGCCTCTGTGTCCGGAGAACTGTAATGCCCACAATGGGGCAGGGACTTGCAACCAGGTGCGTGGGACGGGGCCATGGGGTGGGGCGCAGCGGGGCCGCAGGGTGGGTTGAGGGCGGGTGGGCAGGGCTCCCCTGAGCCTCCCTCTGTCTCCCTCCCCAGAGCCTGGGTGTATGCATCTGTGCTGAGGGCTTTGGGGGCCCTGAATGTGCCACGAAGCTGGATGGTGGTCAGCTGGTCTGGGAGACCCTCATGGACAGCCGCCTTTCAGCCGTGAGTGGTGGACACCTTTCTCCAGGACAGGATGCACCCCATCGGCTGCCTCCTGGGCCATTTATTCTGCCACCTCCACACTTGGGCCCCCTACCCACTCCCAATACCCGGGCTTGACCCTGGCCTGGTGCTTACCCTCCCTCACCCTCCCCAGGACACTGCCAGCCGCTTCCTTCACCGCTTGGGGCACACCATGGTGGAAGGACCTGATGCCACCCTGTGGATGTTTGGGGGGCTGGGCCTGCCCCAGGGGCTGCTGGGAAACCTGTACAGGTAAGGAGAGCCCCCAGAGGCTGGGATTCATGAATGAGAGGAGGTCACCTCAGGGCATGCTGAGGCATCTGTTGCACAAGGGTCACTTGGGGTCCTCTAAAGGATGCTGGGATACTTACCTGGAGGGGCTAGGGTGCTTCATTAGGTGGTGCTGTGGGGTGTGGTGGGTTACAAGTTGGGGTGCCAACCTTAGGATCAGCAGTTAGAAACCAGCAGGTGCTCCACAGGAGATGGGGGGGGTGCTTTCTGCTCTCGTAAAGATGAAAAGCCTTGGAAAGGCACGGGGCAGTGCTCGTCTGTGCTGTGCAGGGGCTGGGGGTGAAGTGGACTCCTTAGAGAGCACTGGGAGGGCCCCGGGGGCGGCAGGGGTGACTATTGCAGGAAGGTTACCCCAGAGGACGCCGAGAACACCCTTGTATGTGTGTGGTGTCACCCCAGAGGATGCTGGGACCCCTGAGAGGGAGGGAGGGCCACCCTAGGGGATGCCGGCATGCCGGGTGGGGGTGCTATTCCAAGGAATGCTGGATGCCTGGACAAAGGGGTTGTTGTTGAGGCGGGGCTGTATCTCCGTCCCAGGTACTCGGTCAGTGAGCGGCGGTGGACACAGATGCTGGCGGGCGCTGAGGACGGCGGCCCAGGCCCCTCCCCACGCTCCTTCCACGCGGCTGCCTATGTTCCTGCCAGCCGAGGTGCCATGTACCTGCTGGGGGGCCTCACAGCTGGGGGGGTCACCCGTGACTTCTGGGTCCTCAACCTCACCACCCTGCAGTGGCGGCAAGAGAAGGTGAGCATCCCCCCACGCCCCCCACCCCCGGCTCCAAGTCGGGCTCTGACACGATAGCTCCTGCCCGCTTGGCCTGCTCCCCCCAAAGACAAGACTCCCCCTCAGAGTTCCTGTACAAGTCCCAGAACTGACTTTCTGGGGTCCCTCCTGGGTCACTGACCACGGGTGTGGCGCTCTGCTTGGCTGGGTCGAGAGCCGGTCTGGAGTGGAGAACAACAGGCTCCACACAGCCACTTAGAGAGGCAGGGGCCTCCCAGGGAACCCCAGGCCATGATGACCTGCGAGCAGATGGAGCCAGGTGTTGGCCACACACCTGCCAGGACTGTGCCTGACCAGGCCTGAGGGGCTCGTCTCTCGTCTGCTCACAAGTGACCTGCCCTGGTGACCTCTGCCCTTTCCCTCAGGCCCCCCAGACCATGGAGCTGCCTGCAGTGGCTGGCCACACCCTCACTGCCCGCCGTGGTCTCTCTCTGCTCCTGGTGGGCGGTTACTCCCCTGAAAATGGCTTCAACCAGCAGTTACTGGAGTACCAGCTGGCGACCGGCACTTGGGTGTCTGGAGCCCAGAGTGGGACACCCCCCACAGGTGGGCAGGCCAGGGAGGGCCTCGTGTCTTGGACCTCCTGGCCCTCTAGACCTTCACACTGCCTTTCTAGCCAGTCCCACGTTCTGTGGTCACTGCACCTCCCTGCTTCCCTCGTGGTCTCTCTGTCTACCTCCTGCCCCGACTCTGTGTCCACCTCCTTCCCAGTAGCTGAGCAGGCGCTGACTCCTTCTCCCGGGCACCTCAGGCCACTCCTGAGTCTGTCATCACCGTCTCCTCTAAAAGTCTGTGGTCACTTCCCGACAAATGAGAACCCCCTTTCCCCAGAACCTCTAATGATTGTCTTTTAACCGAGGGGAGAGGGACTGAGGACTCACAGGCCGCTGGCCTGGCTGGGTAGTGGCGGGGACACCGAGGGAAGGTCAGGTGCCTGGGGACCTTCCTCATTGCCCGCCCCCTCTCACTCCTGGGACCCTTTTCCCCCAGGTCTCTATGGCCATTCGGCCGTCTACCACGAGGCCACGGACTCCCTGTACGTGTTCGGAGGCTTCCGCTTCCACGTGGAGCTGGCCGCCCCGTCCCCAGAGCTGTACTCCCTGCACTGCCCGGACCGCACCTGGAGCCTGCTGGCCCCGTCTCAGGGGGCCAAGGTCAGGCACAGACGGACGTCAGGACTCGGGGGGCCTTTCCCAGTGCCCCAGGGATGGGCGCAATCCTCCTCCTCCTCCAGTCCTCTGAGCCGACCTTTGATGCCGCCAGCCTGCCCTGGCCCCTGCCCCAGCTCTGCCCTGCTTGGTGCCCTGGCTGTCCCTGCTCACCCCCACCCCACCCCGCCGGGCCTCCCCAGCTCTAAAAGTGGTAGAGGCTGCTCATACTGCTTCCCTGACAAGACCAAAGGTGGGGGGCCATGTGGGAGTCGTCGGGACCCCACGTGGGCGGCCGTGGGCGGCCTGGAAACCACATGCTGTCACCGCCACATGCCATTCCAAGCCTCTTGGCAGGAGGAGAGGGAGGTGGGAACAGGTCCCGTAGCCCTGCCACCAGGGCAACCCCAGGCTGGACAGTGGACTGAGCTCCAGGCAGGGGGGAGCAGCTCGGGAAGGGAGGGTTGGGGGACACCTAGGAGGCGGGTTCCTGGAGGAGGTGAGGTTTTAGGAAGGTCTGTCTGGATGGACCGGCTGGTAGAGGGGGACTGCGGGGTGGCAGGTGGCCCGTGGGCTCTGACAGGCCTGCCCGGCTTGTGTCTCCCCAACAGCCTCGCCCCCGGCTCTTCCACGCTGCAGCCCTCCTAGGGGACACCCTGGTGGTCCTGGGGGGGCGCTCGGACCCCGACGAGTTCAGCAGCGACATTCTGCTCTACCAAGTCAACTGCAATGCCTGGCTCCTGCCCCAGCTCACCCGTGAGTCCTCCGCACAGTCCCCACCCCACCAGCCCCACCAGCAAAGCCCCTCGCCCCCAAGCCGTTCTCTGCCACGGGGCTCTCAGCAACGTCCTCCTGCTGCCACCCCGATTGGGGTGGTTTTTGTTATTTTCTTCAAAAAGTTCCTCTTTGGGAACTCTGATGTATGGAGGGAGCAATCCGGCTTGTTCATCATCCGTGAACCAGGGAGGGGAAAGTCCACGCCAGTCCCATTCCCCGGTTACCTGTGGGGTGAGCCGTCCCGCCGTCCTGCCCCTCAGGTGGAGGCAGGTTTGCCAGTCTTCCAGCTGTGTGGCCGCTCTCCCTTGGCCCTTCTCTCTGCGACCATTCCCGTCACCAGCCTCTCTCTCTGTGGGCGGCACTCTTCTTCCTGGCCCTTTGTTGGCGTCCTCTCCTTTTTTGTTTTCTTGGAGGTGTTGTCTGCGTCTCCTGCCCCTCTGTCTGGTCAGCCCCGAGGGTCTCCATGTGTCCCCTGCTCGCTGTCTCTCTGAACGCCCCTTCCTCCTCCCCCAGGCCCAGCCTCTGTGGGACCCCCGATGGAGGAGTCTGTGGCCCATGCCGTGGCGGCAGTGGGCAGCCGCCTTTATATCTCTGGGGGCTTTGGGGGCGTGGCCTTGGGCCGCCTGCTGGCCCTGACCCTGCCCCCCGACCCCTGCCGCCTGCTGCCCTCTCCTGAAGCTTGTAACCAGTCTGGGGCCTGCACCTGGTGCCACGGGGCCTGCTTGTCTGGGGACCAGGCCCACAGGTAAGTGCAGCGACCAGCGGCCCACCTGAGGGTAGCCTGAGTGTCCTCCCTGGGGATCCTGGGCTGGGCCGGGAGCGAGCAACAGATAGGGTCCCTCCCAGGATGACTGACTGGCTGGTGGGTCATCAAGGGCCGTGGGGGCATTCAGGAGGGGCTCTGGGTGGGAGTGCTGCTTGGGGTCCAAGGGATGCCCCAAAGTACTGCTTTGGGGAGCTGGGGCTGGCCTGGGCCCTGGAGAACCCCCAGAGTTAGGCCAGCAGGTTTAGAAGTGTCTGAGAGATGCTGTGTGAGGGCAGAGACGAGGGGCTGAAGGGCTCAGAGAGACGGTCACTCCTTCGGTCCACGGGCCTGGCCTCTCTTGCCTGGAAGCCCTGGGAGAAGCACACACTTTCCTAGACTGAGAGCAGGCTGGCCGGCCGCATGGTTACCCTACCCAACCTGCTGCCCATCCCATTCACGGCCCACTGAATAGGGGCTCCGAGAATGCCAGTCTGTATGGGAATAGACATCCCCCGCCCTCCTTTGCAGTGGCTAGTGACTTTGAACCTCTGTCCTTGCAGTGTGCAGCCCCTTGCCTAAGCCCCAGCACCATCAGAGCTGCTCATCCTGGGCTGAAGGGTGGCATCTCTTACTGGCTCCCTGCCCCCCCCCCCTCCGCGGGAGGGAGTGGATGCGTCCTGGGACTTGCTGGAGAACTGCTTACAGAGAACGTGCATGAGTCTAAGATCAGATACATTCTGATCTCTGTGCCCCCTGGGGTCTGGGTCAGGGACGGTGGGCCTCGGCTGTGGACGATGGGAGCACAGACAGTTCCAGCAGGGCTGGACCAGGGAGATTCGGTGTGTCTGGGGGAGGCTGCAGGCAGGGCTGGACCAGTCACAGGGCTGAGGGGGTGGGGAGGGGAGGAGGGCCAGAGATCCAGGCAGCAAGAGCCCTGATGGCTGTTGGGCCAGGAGGAAGGCGGTGCTGTCCAGTGGGCCTGACCTGGGTGACAGGCGGAAGTGAGGGAAAGCAGAATGAGAGGCTGTGCTGCAGCTGGTTGGGCATGTGGGGGTGAGGGGGTGTCCTGGAGGCACCAGGAAGAGGTGAGGGTGGGGAGAGGAGGGGGCAGGGCTGACTGGGTGTGAGTGAGTGAGCCTGGGCCTCCTGCCCCCCAGGTTGGGCTGTGGGGCCCCACCCTGCTCCCCAATGCCTCGCTCCCCCGAGGAGTGCCGCCGACTGCGGACATGCAGCGAGTGCCTGGCTCGACATCCCCGGACGCTGCCACCTGGAGAAGGAGAGGTACAGGGCTGGCTGGGGCTGCGGGTTTGGGAGCAGCGGGGCCCCAGGGTGACCCCAAGGAGCTCTTCAACTGGGTCAGGAGGGGTGTTGGGAACCCCCAATGGCCTCACAGAACCCGTTTTCCTTGCCAGGCACCTGCGCCCCGCTGCAAGTGGTGTACCAACTGCCCCGAGGGCGCCTGCATCGGGCGCAATGGCTCGTGCACCTCAGAGAATGACTGCCGCATCAACCAGCGCGAGGTCTTCTGGGCAGGGAACTGCTCGGAGGCTGCGTGTGGGGCCGCCGACTGTGAACAGTGCACGCGGGAGGGCAAGTGCATGTGGACGCGCCAGTTCAAGAGGACAGGTGAGCACTGACCGGGGCCCAGCAGGAGGGGGGTGGGGGGAGCCCTAGCTGCAGGGCGGGGGTGGGGGGAGCTTAGCTGCAGGGTCTGAGGGAGGAGGGTGCTGAGGAGACTCGGACCAGGGGTCTGAGATGGGAGGGGTGGGGGGCCTGGACTGGGTACTATTCCCTCTGCCCACGCCCCTCAGGGGAGACCCGCCGCATCCTCTCAGTGCAGCCCACGTACGACTGGACATGCTTCAGCCACTCCCTGCTGAACGTGTCCCCCATGCCGGTGGAGTCCTCGCCCCCGCTGCCCTGCCCCACCCCTTGTCACCTCCTGCCCAACTGTACATCCTGCCTGGACTCCAAAGGTGCGGACGGGGGCTGGCAGCACTGTGTGTGGAGCAGCAGCCTCCAGCAGGTACTGCCCCCGGAGAGGCTCCCACTTACTTCTCCGCCCTCAGCACCAACCTGCCTCCTCCTGCCCCTCCTTCCTTCCTTCCCCACCTCCCCATACCCTCCTTCCCTCCCCCACAGTGCTTTCTGCCTCCTCACACGCACCTGTTTCCACTCCTCCCACCATCTCCTGTCCGTTTGTCTGCGCTCAGCCTGCGCCTCTCCCTCTGGTGCTCTGTGTCCCCGCCCCAGGCTCCACAGCCCCAGCATCTCTCCATCCCAGTCCCTGACTCTCCCTACTACCCCCTCCGCCCCCTCCTAAACCTCTTTGGTTTCCCTCCTCCTCCGTCTGTCTCTGCATTTGGAATCTCTGCGCTGTCAGAGTCAGAAGCCCGCTCAGGCTGCTTCATTGTGAGGAACCGTGGGGTCTGAGAATAGGAAGTCCTGTAGCTCTGTCCTTCCGGGGGCATGTGGATGCCCCTCTCAGCCATTCCCCGTGCATCTCCATGGCCTCAGAGGGCTGCCCCGACCCTGACTCTGCATGGCTTTCTCGTTCACCTGCGTGGTCACATGCTCAAGGAAAGGCTCGCATGCCGCTCCTGAAGTTCATGTCCCATCCTGGCTCTGTGAGATGTGGCCACAGGGTCACATGGCTCGGACAGGACAGCTCAAGCCCAATCCCTGTGCCTGGGACTCGGGTGGAGAAATGGCGATGAAGATGATCTCTTCTTTTGCTAAATCGTACTGTATTGTGTGTGCAGTGAAGGTCTCCCAACAGTGTAGGCTCCCAACCAACAATGTCTACACATTGTTCCGTCTGTGACATTGGCTACATTCTTCACAGCGGCCGGCCGTCATCTCACCGTCCAGTCTGGTTTGATGCTCGCTTGCCTAGTATGCTGCCCCCATAGCCTCTCGTCTCTTGATTCAGCGGAGCTAGTCACCCTTCGGCCTCCTACAGATGATTCTTCATTTTTATTTTTTTAAAGGGAGAGATTGTCTGCCAGGGTGGGTTGGAGAAAATGCACGAGTGTTAAACCCCCAAAGAAAACCTTTAGAAATCAGGAGCACAAATCGAGAAGTGGGGTTTGGCTCAGTCCTTACCTGGTTCTATGTAAAAGGCATGTCCTGGGGCTTTCTACTCCCATGGAGTTACAGTCCCCGGACGGGAGTGGTTCTGCCCTGTCCTGTTGATTCGGCATCAACTCAATGGCAGTGAGTCTGGGTTTTGTTTTTTTTCAAGCTACCCAGAAGGTGAGGGGTGAAAGGAAGGAAGGAAATAAGAAATGAAGGAGGGAGTGAAGGCAAGCAGGAGTGGAGGAAGGAAGGAGAGGACAGGGAAGAGGAAGGGTTGAGACAGCTGAATAATCGTTTCTGCACTGAAGAGTAAAGCAGCCATCATAAAGGAGGAACGACAACTCCTACAGAGGCGGGTGCTTGTCTTCTAGGCAGGCACCCTCTGTGTTCATTACGGTCCACCCCTTGACTGCCCAGCACATCCCATAAAATCCATTCCAAAGGGACCCCTGCCTGGCGTGATCTAGCTGTACCCCCAGCAGCCACAAAGACACAAAGGCACTCCCCCCGCCCCCCCTGTGGGTGACAGGGCTGATGTCCCTCCTGCTGTCACTGGACCAGAACCTGAGTCTGTTATCCAAAACCCAGAGCCAAGCTGCGGCTGTTCACAGCGACCCCACAGGGCAGCGTCCCTCTGCCTCCTGGGCTCTCCCAGACTAGGTCTTTGCCGAAGCAGACTGCCACATCTCAGTGGCTGGCGGGTTCCCGCCTCCGACTCTTGGTTAGCAGCCCGGCCCTTAACCCTCCGCGTCATCAGACCTCCCTCACTGATGTCCACTGCTCCTCTCATTGCACAAGACCCCGTCAAAGTCCAACAGCATCTTACCTTCTTTCTCCCTTTTGACCAGGATCCAGCTACTGATTCCTTGGTCCAAACGTTCAGTCATAGTATTGGCTCGGATTTTTGGAAGACGCCACATTTTAGGCCCAACCTGGCAGGTGTGCGGGCCAGACTGGCTGCAGTTGGGCTTGAGGGCTGCCAGGCTTGAGCCAGCCAGCCGGGGGTGGCCTTTGTTTCTGACTGGTCTCAGAGCCAGAGGCTAGCAGCAGAGTGTCCCCACCCCTGCCGTGTTTCTTTTCCTAAGGCACCAGCTTTCTAATTCCTTCCTGACTCTTTCCCTCACTTCCCTACCGCCTTCCCAACGTACTTCATTCCTTCAACAGGTCCTTGATTGAGCAACTGCCTCACTTTAAGCCACTCTGCTGGGCCGTGTGTCCGGGGCCGCAGAGAAGCCAGGGCCTGCGCTCGCTCAGGACTTCCTTCAGACCTCTCTTCAGGCACACTGGAAGGACATGCAGTTCAGGCTGTGGGATATCATCACATGCACCCACTAGGGACGGCCCAGCAGAAAGTGCCATCCCGGGCTAGGGCCTGGCCCCTAGCTCCTCTTCCCCCTCCCAGATCGCCCCACTGTCTGCCAGCCGGCGCACTAAATTTAGTTTCAGCAGCCCAGTCTGGCAGGGAACTTGCTTCTGACAGTTGAGCCAGTCTCGGCTGCTGGCTGGCCCCAGCCCGACGGCCTTGGTGCTCCAGCCAACAGGGTTTCTATTTCAGGAGTCCACGGTGACCCCGCTTTTCTCTGAGAGCTCTCAGACAGACAGCCCAGACCAATCTCCCTCCTCTTAGGCTTTTACTTAAGACCCAAGCAGGAAATGAAATGTTCTTATCTGCCAGGCAAGGTCCCCAGTGTCTAGACCTCATTGTGTATGTTGTCTGGGCCCCAGCACCAATAAGCTGTGACCCGGGTGTTGCCTTACGGCCTCGAGCCAAGGTCTCTCCAACTCCCTGGGCTAGGGCCAGGGGACCTTGTTGCCCCAACAACCAGGCCCAATTCTTTCTAAGTGGCTGTGGCCGGTGACCCCCCTTCTCCCGATCCTAGTCTGTGTCTGCCTCAGACGTTGCTGGTTGTAAGAGGCAGAAAGAAGTCCCCTTGGCTACTCAGGTGAAGGGCACTCATCACACTGGTAGGGTGGCGCCTCAGGTACCTCAGCGAACTTGGGGTCCCACCGGGGACTGGTGATGGAGCCTGGATAGCTCTTCTCTCTCCACCTGTCCATCTGTGTGGGGAGCCTGGTTCCCATCTCCTCCTTTCTCTGCCTTGCTCTTGTACTGCACACACTGTTCCCCCCCCCCAACACACACACACACACACACACACACACACACACACACACAC